AATTTGACGTATCATATGTGATGTATATTCTCACATATATTTAAGTTAGTTCATTGTTTTTACTTGGTGAGGGACTTCTAAGGTTCTTACTGACTGATGTAAAAATCCAACAATTATCTTTTAAATTTATTTAACCGTATTTTTAAAAATTATTTTTATTTGCCTAAATGAAAAAGAACATGTGAAGAAACATCAAAATCAGAAATGAAAAACAACTACGTAATTCAGCCCATTTCTCTGCCACTGCAAGATTATCCCCTGTAAGCAAAGGATTTCAGTTCAGCTTAGGGTGGACTTTTCAATCCTAACTTTCTTAGGTACTTCTGAAAACTCCATCCATAGTGGGCAAAGTTTTAATTTTACAATAATCATGAAGCTTGTTTTCATTACTAATTTTTTCATCCATATTTTCAACTGCCCTTGTCACTTTGTAAGATTACAGCATTAAAAAGTGATGCCCTTTCTTTTGTTTGGCTAAAAGATTGGTAGGATTTCAAGTGATGGAACCCAATTTTTGGACTCATTAGACTACATACGTTATCTTTATAAAGTTCAGAATGTTTGCCAGCTGGGTTAGTTGGAAATCTAGCAAAGAACTTTCCTTTATGCCACGTTATCAATATTGTATAGTAGCCAAAAGTTCTTAATGTAAGTAAAGTGTTGTGGACAGCAAGCTTTCAAGAACTTCCATATGTCTTTTCACTTCTCATTTGCTATTTCTGATCATTGTATTTTCAGAAAAATTAATCTACCTCCTTTCTCAGTTACACTATAAATTAGATCAGTGGAAATTTCTTTTTCTGAACTCTTGCTCTGGTCCTCTTAAGGACCCCCATTCCATCCTCATTACTGACACAGGCAACTCTGCACTGATTTCCATGGGAGCTTTACTGGTCTCATGCGTATAAGATCGGTCCCTTATCAGTTAGGGACAACATCCTAAATTATTCAGGGAACAGTGGCAATGAGGTTTATACTGTCATATGAACAAGAGCAGGGGTGGGGATGGGAAGAGAGGGAGAGTTGAAATTTACACGGAGAATGTCTTAACAAGCTGAGGGCAGAATCTGGAAACAAAACAGCTCAAAAAGGAAATACTGTCAGTGTCCTAATTCTATTGCGTTATAAGCCAAATATTAACTACTTTTAACCTTCAGTAAATATAAGATTCCCCCCCCCCCCCCCCCCCCCCCCCCCCCCCATCATTTGATCTAAGGTTTTATAGAACTGCAAGTTTCTGCCATCAATAACCTTACAAATGAGCTGCTGTATCCTAAGGGAAAGGGAAGACAACACCTAACTGGTTAAATATTTTGCATAAATACTTATAAAAGTGTCAGAAAACTTATAACCACTTCAAATTTATTGCTTTGGCACTTGAACTGTGAAAGTATTGGGGGAGGAGGAAAGGGGTTAGTGAACAGTGTGTTCATAGGACTGCTGCCACCCACAGTCAAGTAACAGTATAAATATAATCAGAAAGACCGCAGAGATGGGATTTCAACCAAAGGCCTTCTAGGTTTAGAACAATAAATACCTTTAATCAGGTGTGTTTAAAGGAGCAAATACCACTCAGCCTGGATTGTATCATTCCCTTTTTCAGTCTATTTCAGAATCAGGCCATGTGCATCAACAGGAAACATTTAGAAGGCTGCAGCCTTCGGCATATGAAGACTAATGTTAGGAAAGAGACCAGGCTTTTAAAAAGATAGGACAGGCAGGATTTAAAGTAGGTATTCCCTGTCCCTCAGAACTAAAACCGTATGGGAGCAGCTTAATTGGAACAGTGTAAGGAAATCTTTACATACCTCAGGCTCTGACACCAACAGATTTAGGGTTTGACCCTGCAAACACTTATTATGGGTTGTCCTGGACAGAACAACTCACAGTAATAAATAAGTAGTGAATGTTTTCAGGATTGGGCCTGAAGTCTCTTGCTTCCAGAGGAATTTGGCTACTCACAGTAGTTTGCCCAGTGTATGCACAATCAGGTCCTTAACAACCAATACATATTGTAGCCTTTAAAGAATCAAAGGCTGGGATTTTCAAAGAAGCCTCAGGGAGCTCGGCACCCAGCTCACTGGATTTCAGCGGGAGTTGGGGAACTACTTCTCTTAGGCGGTTGTGAAGTCCCAGACAATGATTTCATTGGGACTTTTGCATGTGAAACGACTGCAGGGTCGATCAGTTAGTGTCATGAAAAATATATGATTAGTAAATGAGGCTTTATAATGCGTCTATATCAAGGCACATATTGCAGGAATGGAGAAGCTTAATGGAATACAATAGTTTGGAATCACAACACTACATTTCAGGTTTCCAGCATTTATTTTTGACCCCTACATATTAAAAGCTCTTGAAATGACCAGATAGCTAAACAATCAGGAACAGATTCTACTTTTTCCCTTTTGCTGTTAACGCTTGCTTCTTTTGGTACATAGTCTTGGTGGATTGCCAATGTACATACATGCTTGGGCAAACAGGATACAATTTCCAAAAGCATCTACGTGACTTCAGAGCCTGAGTCCCATCAATGTGCTTTGGAAAAATTTAGCTATTGACTTAATTTCATAACAACAAAGATGTGCAATTTTTCAAGCTTTTATTTTTTCTTTAAAGATAGGAATAAAAAAAACAACTAGCCCATCAACAATGTGCTACGTCATAGCCAGAAACTAACTGCAAAGGACATGAAGCCAACAAATAGTGTCAAAATAGGCACTGTAGATTTCCCCCCCCCCCCTTAGATAGATATTCCCGAGTAAGAAGCGACTTTCAACATTGATAGGTTTACTGGTGCATTTCCGTTTAAAGCCGAAACCCCAATTATGCCAAAAGACATAAACTCCACTTAACAGAGCTCCTGAGGGGTAAATTATTCTGTATGCACGACTGTACTTAAAGTAAAACCATCTTCCTCTTCCTGTATTTGTCACCAAATAGACCTTTGCTGCAACCAACTTTAAGTAATTATATTTCTATATCTAGCTGCCTGAGCGCGCCCAAAGCCACTTTACAGTCCTATTATATACGCAAAACACTCCTTGAGTTCAACGGGAGTTAGAGAACAGCTATAGGGATAACCCTTAATAGGAGATATACAGTACAACTTATCTAAACTTCAACTATCTGCAATTTCCTGTTATCCAAAAGAGAGTCATGTCCCCTACTGCCTGTTAATTACACCAAAAATCCCCTCAATTATACAAATCCTTGATTATCCAAAATCCCTATGATATTTGATTAATCAGGGTTGTACTGTATCACACATGGAACTCAGCTACCAGAGGGACAGAAGCATTAGCAACATAAACGTATATAGTTAGAACAAAATAGTTAAAACACTAATTAAACCATCTATATGATGCAGCGTATGCATTACATCAGAAGACATATTGGCATATGTGTAGGGAGCACTACTTGTTTGTTACTTTCACTTTCAAGTTCCAGTCCCTGGAGTTCCTTGTCAGTCTAAACATGATGTACTCTAGGGCCCCGATTCTGCAAAGACTCATGCACATGCTAAAGTTAACCCCCTCCTCCCCGCCAGGCCTGATGCGCATGCCTATTTCATTCTCCAGAGCAGGCTCATTTTCAGTGAGCTGCTTTCTTGAACCGTAAATCCTGTATACCACAGAAACATCTTGCAGTTTGCAGTGGCCAAATGCTCACAGGTAATCCTAATGCTTTCAACAACTGAAACGTGCAACTTCAGTTTGATTTGACGCTGTAAGTCAGGGCAGCTAGAAAGAGGTGATTTTTGCATTGAAAAGACTAAGTGGGATATTAACTGTAAATGCCATTTGGCCATTAAAGCTCCAGAGTGTATTTATATTGTCATCCTAAGGCTTTCACTGATGAATGGATTTTTCAGGAGCTGTGCATGTCAGAGCTTTGGGGAAATCTCTTCACAGTGGTTTCAGACAGACCAAGAACATTATCAGCACCTTAAAAATTATGGACCTGATCCAGTCCCCATTAAGGTCACTGGCCAAACTCCTATCGACTTCTACAGTGCAAGATCATTTATTAACGTTACTAGACAGTTCCTTAACTCGAACTGGATACAAGTGTTATCAAGTTGACATTATATATATTTGGTTTTATATGCAAATGCGTTACTAAACAGAGTTTATTTTGTGCTGTGTTGACACAGAGCTGGATTAACCTCTGCATCTCCTGAAAAAGGAGCACCCATCTCTAAACTCAGGTAGGATCCAGCGATTATTATAAGAACATATCACACAAGGATTATAGCTAACGTACTAGAAGGTCTCTGGCACAGGTATTGCACAGCCAGCCCTGCAAAATACACACACCAAACTCCCCAAAGAAAAAGGAATCTCGGACTATAGGTAAACTGTTTCCAGATGGAGTTTCTCTGCTTTTGTTATTCTCACTTTGCAGACCTGCAAGCTTCTCCCCATGCTCATACCCAGTGCAAAGCCTGTTACATTTCCCCCAGCCCCTTTGCATGAAGTGTCAGTTGCATTTTCACTGACAGTGCAGTCAGATACACAAACAGCCTTCACCTCTCTCCTCCCACCCTCCACAAGTAGTCACAACCACACAGCAGATATAGATCTACCAAGCCTCAGTGGGAGGGAGGCTCCCAGGTTTGGGGGAGGATGTCACATTTGGGGGGGTCACATTAAGGCAGCGTTAGAAGTTTCTGCCTCTTGTGAGGAGGGCTTTCCAAGCGGGTGAGGTGCTGTCTTTTATTGGACCAACTTCTGTTGGGAGAGACTGGAGCTTACTCAGAGCTCCTGACATTTCAGATGGGTGTGTGTCTGTGTCTGTTTCCCGCATCCATTGCCCCTGCTTTTGACAGCCCTGAGGAGACACAATTTCGAGAGACTCACCCTGAGCTCCAAACAGCTACCTGGGCTCGGGGGGTGGGAGGAAGCCAAGGCTGCGGGGCGGGTTGGGGGCAGCAGCTGACCGGCCAGGTGGCAGCTGAGCGGGCGGAGAGGAGCCAGAGGGTCAGGGGCCGTACTCACCCGCTGGCAGGGCTCGGAAGCTGCGGACCGTGTTGCCCTCCCGGAGGTGCAGCGGGTGGAGGCCGGGGAGCTCCTGGCGCCGGGCGCCGCTGTACTTGTCGTAGAGCCGGAGCATGTGTTCCGAGACCTTGTCGCCCGGCGGCAGCTGCTGCGGTGCGGGGCCAGGGTCACCTGCCGCCCGGGCTCGGCCGCCCGTGACTCCTCCCAGGGCAGCCTTCCTCCGGAGCCCCACGAGGTGCGCTCGCAGCAGGTCCCCCAGCGCCAGGCACAGGCAGCTCCAGCCGAGGCAGAGGCACAGCAGCGAGCGAGGCGACCCAGCCATCCTGGCCAGCCGGGCGTGCAGCGAGCCCACCCCAGGGAGCGGATCGCCAGCAAACCAGCCCAGCGGCGGCTGCTTCACCCCCCGCCCCAGCCAGAGACAGCGGGGACCAGTCCGCGGGGGGGGAGTCGCGCTCTGCAGCGGGGCTGTTGCTGGGCGCTGCAAGCCCCGGGATCCTGCAGACAGGAGGCTTTAACCCCAAACTGCCTGCATGCAAAAATATAAGGACAGCAGCAACCCCCCCTCGCCGCCTGTCCTGGCGCTTGCAGTGAGCTCGGGGGTGCCTCTGTGCGGGTGGGTTTTTTTGCGGGGGGGGGGGGGGGGGCGGTTGTTATTATTATTGCAGGCGGGTTAGGGGGTGGTGCCAAAGCGGCGGCGGTGGAGCGGAGCCTGGATCGCAGCCTCCCCCCGCTCGCTCGCTTGCTCTCGCTCCGGCTGTGGCGGGGGCAGGCGCAGCCTGGCGGAGTTTTGTGCTCTGCGCGCGGAGTCCCCCGGCTCCCGGGGCTGAGCTGGGTCATCCGCAGCCAATCGCGCCGCCTGCTCGGCCGGGCCCGGCGGCAAGCGAGAGGCAAAGCGAAGGGGAAACCGCCCCCCGAAGGGGACACGCGCGCGGGAGAGGCCGGGCTCGGCTCGGCAAATTCAGTCCCTCGCGTCCCGCGGGCAATGGGGGGAGTTTACACCCAATTCCAAGAGGAAGAGAGGGGAGGGGGGGGGGGTGCTGCAGTTGGTCGGATCATAGAAAGCGCAGAGAGTTTGGGCACGTCTAAAGGGCTGGGAACACGTGCGCCCTGCGCCTGTGCTCAAGGTGATCGGGCACCTGGGAGCGCGGCCCACCTGACCGGACCCAGCTCCCGGGTGGGACTCCGCCTTTAAAGGGCTTCGGTTTTGCCCCGTCCCAGTCTAACGTGCGTGCATAGGAGTGGGAAAGGTGCCCAAGCCCATGGCAGAGAATCTCAGCCGGGGTCTGAGCGAGGGGCAGCTTATTCCAAGCTAGGGGGACCAGACAGCAAGTGTGAAAAATCGGGACAGGGGGTGGGGGTAATAGGAGCCCATATAAGAAAAAGACCCCAAAATCAGGACTGTCCCTATAAAATCAGGACATCTGGTCACCCTATTCCAAGCATTAAAGCTTCTGTCTTTCTTTTGATGCGTTTATTGGAGTTAAAGCAGGGACATCCTGCACGCCACAGTCTGATCCCGATACAGCAGGGCATCACACCCTAACGCATGCTGAGCAAGATCCATGCAAAGGCCTTCACATGCCTCATTCTCCAAACCTTTTCACAGTCACCCAGAGGGAAATAATTGTGCCCCCCCCCCCCCACAATGCCACAATATACTCATTGAACGTGCAATAATGTCCCTTTCAACTCAACTCCCATTACGTTCTGCAAGAGAAACGGAGACATTGTCAACTGGAATCCTCCCTTCACACATCTGGAAATGAAAACAAAACAAATAAATCAACACGAGATAAAGTAGAAAAATCCCTGCCCTTCCAAAGTTTACATATGCATCTGTTCAGGCTTGGAAAACAAGCATCTTTCTAGTCTGAAGAAGGGAAATATGAAATGATATTGCATTTAGTACATGGGATTTATCACTCAATATTTTTGCCACTGTATTCATACACTCACTCTGTGCAATTATGCATTACTAATTTATATACTGGTAGTTTGTATCTTTCATGTGCATATTATATAGTGATATAAACGGCAAGTCCATACGCACATATAGGCTAAAATTTTCATCATTGCATAAGGGAGTTAGACACCCATCTTTAATTGATTTTCAATGAGAGTGGGGTGCCCAACACATGGAAGTGTTTTAAAAATTCCCACCTATTAATTACAATACACACATGTATGTATGTATATAAGGGGACAATCTTAGTAACATCACTGCTGTATCATATATATAATATGGTATATTAACCTGCCTTGCTTCCCTTCCGCCTCTTCCTCCCCCCCCCAAAATGACTAATTATTTTGGATGCCTTAATTTCTGGATGGCCAAATCAAAACACAATCAAAGGACCTGATTTTCAGAGGATGGGTGTTCAGTGATTCATTCAAAAAACCTAGACACTTCTGAATATCTCAGATATATACATATGCAGTAGTATGTTACCTCATGCTTTTCATTTTACCTATGCATGTAATTATCAACATACATTAAAATAAGGCAATTGAACACACAAAAGTGACAAAATGCAAAAGTTAAGGTGGTATGGGGTGGGTTTCTTAAAGAGAAAAAGTATTTCTTGCTTGTGAAACTGAAAAAGACGAGTATCAGAGGGGTAGCCGTGTTAGTCTGAATCTGTAAAAAGACGAATTGATTTTAGCTAAAAATGTCAACATACACAATCAGATCTGGCTAAGATCAAGCAAGGAGAGCTTCAGTCTAAAACAGGAATACCGGACGGAGCAAGTGAAAATATGGGTTAGAATGGAAGTGCCATTTCAACTTTAATTATAGTGTTCTCTGCTGCTGCTGAGAGATATAATGAAAAACCCATTTAAATAAAACTATAAGAGAGTGTCACAGTCTGGTTTAAACCGACACAGGCAAAGCCATTCACAGTTAAAAATGTACTTTGTTGTGCCTTGTTGTGTGATGACATCTCCAAAGCGTGAGGGATCTTACAGATTCTGGCCTTGATTTTGATCTTACATCAGCGTAGACCAGGAGTGACTCCCCTGTTGTCACAGTGGTATAAAACCAGTATAAGAGAGAGAAGAATCATACCCATTTTGTGTACATCCTAAGCAAAACTGGGTTAATTAAGGAGGGAAACCCAGTTTGGAATCTCACATTCCTTTTGTGGATTTATTTATTTCAAATCCTTTAACTTTCTTGTAAAGCACTGCTTATGGGTTCATTTCTTTTGTTTTTATTTAGTTTTTAAAGATTGCGATAATTAATACAAACCGAGCATGTATGATAGTTTACACAGTAAACCACAATGGCTACTCCACAGCTATTACAACCAAGGATCTAAGAATGTATTTAGGGACCCGAGAAACAGTAGTTACACTGACCCTTTATGGTCTAGTATGTTAGATCCTGAATCAGGCCTTCTTTACACACAGTTCTGAGACCTGATCATGCAGTTCTGATGTATTTAAACTCCGATTGACTTCAGCTGAAGTTATACATGTGGAAAGCATACAGGACTGGGCTCAGACTATAATTGTGAACTTATTAAAGATGCGACATAAATACAAATTGTGGGTCAGATTCTGCTCGTTTATGAATAGTTCCACTGACATCAATGGGACAACGTTTGTGAGTAAAACCAGCAAGATTGGCTCAATACCTGTGTTTGTACTAATCGGCAATATTTGGAGTTCAAAAAACAAACAAACAAGCAAACAGACCTCAACCCCGCCATAGACTGAATTTGTTAAATTGGCAATAACGTTCCCATGAGTACAAGGCTAAATAGAGAGATGGGTGTTTTTCTAGGTGATTCATTTCAAAAGGAGGAAAATGTAATGTCTTAGGGCCTGATTGTGCAACTCTTACTCAACCTTTAATACAACTTACTCAGGCAAGTTACTGGTAATCATCATGAATAAGGGTTGCAGATTTGGGTCCTAGACTCCTGGGGTCTGGCTGATTCCCGTTTCACAGGTTTAACACCAATATATTTTTATTAGTATTATTTCTATTGCAGTAGTGCCTAGGAACCTTAATCATGGGCCTGGACCCCTTTGTTTTAGGTGCTGAACAAAAAGCAGTCCCTGCTCCAAAGAGCCTAGACTCTAACCCTATAGACGTAACTCTTGACTTACATCAATGTGAGATAAGCACCAGGCCCTTGAAGTCTACACAATTTCTGCTGCTATGTTGAGGAGTTATGAGGATCTGTGGGAGGGCTATGTTCTTAGCACCTAAAAATGGGTATTGTGCTTATGTTATAAACATCCTGGCAGCTAGAGAGCCTCAGAACTGACAGGTTCACCCTCTGGGTGCCCATGAAATGATCTGATAGTGAACTTTACAGAAGCAAACATCACTGGGGAAGGTTATTAGTATTGTTCCCCATCTCAAAATGCCATTGTGTCCCTATATGAATGCAGCACATTCATCTTCCATGAACAATATTCCTAACTATAAGACACATTTCTGTTTTACTGTAACAAAATCCAAACACCAGATATGCTGGGTTATTTAGGCTTAGGTCAAGTTCCATCTGTTTGTATAACCCTATAACAATGTGTCTGTATGTGTCATTTTTAGGAGGGGAGGGGAAGTGGAAAGAGAGAGAATCCAGCAGTGGACTGGGAAAGTGATATAGCTGGAGGAGGACATGGATGATGAATTTACAGCCTGCCTGTCTTGCGTAGTACATCAATACTATCAGCACATTTGAAAGGATCCTGAAATCGGCATAGTCAAAGTGTGAGTCTGTTGTACTGTTGCTGCTGCTCTCATTGACTGCAAAGAGCACAAGAATAAAAGGGACCAAGAAAAACCACATTAAAATGTGTTGGGAATATTAAGACTTTCAAGTACCTACAAAATACACTGAATTGCAGGGTCTTTGTCTAAAATCCCCTTTAATGAGTGCTTGTTGAACTACCCTGTAATCTGGGGGCAAGACGAGTTTTATTTTCCCCTGGTTTGCCATATTGTGTATTGCTTCGTGTCTTCCGATTATGGCCTGCTGCTAAATTCTAGCAAGATAGCAATAGGGCCGAATTCTGGCTCTCCACACCTCAGCTGTGGGAGGAGTGGAGCTGTATCAAGCGAGGGGAAGGTCCCTGAATGATTCTAGCTGCACAGGGCAGATGCAAAGTGAGGTCCCATAAGTTGCCAAGGCAGCTGACACAGGAGCTGTTGCCACCAGGTTTATGCCAGCAAAGCGTTTTCCCTTCCACGTCTGTACGAAGGGGCAGCTGGATCAAATTTCAGTGGCACTGTGACCATGCAGCCTGCTCTGGCAGCAGCCGTACGGATTTAGTATAGACCACTGCTTAAAAGTGGTCAGGCCTTGC